AGGCCGAGGCAGGAGGATCATGAGCTCAAAGCCAGCCCCAGCAGAAGTCAGGCACTAAGCKACTCAGCGAGACCACGTCTCTAAATAAAAAACACAAAACAGGGCTGGGGGTGTGGCTGGGTGGTCAAGGCCCCTGAGATCAATCCCCAGTACCAAAAAAGAAAGAAAGCAAGAATTCGTAGCGATGGAGCTTCAGAGAGAAGACACAGCGTCCACGAAGTGGCAGAGAAGGGAGCTTATGAGCAGTCTTTGGGTCCCGGGCATTCAGGGGCCAGCACCCACTTGCTGGAGGGCCTCCCTGGGCRTGAMGGGAAAAGGCAGGGGACACTCCAGCTGCCCCATTCACCATCCAATTTGGAGACCTCCATTCTGGCTGACAGCCCAGCCCCTTCCGGCTCAAGGTCAGAAATAGCTGTGACCAAAGTTCCTCCCACCCCAGAAAGGGGATTCAAAAAAAACAGACACATGAGAAAGTGCAGGGACCTTTTCTAAGTCCCGGCTGCAAACCCGGCTCGCTGGGCTCCGGGGGTCCTGCTGGGCCCTCAGGCTGGGCCCTGGTTTCCCCACCTCTAAAGTGAAAGCCCCAACTGGCCCCGCCCAGCCCAGACGGGAACTTCCTCAGACTGTCCAGTCGCTGGGGAGTCAGATGGACACAGGGTCCTTTCCCGCTGCACAGCCTCCCACTGTCCCCAGAATCGCCCAGGCACCCAGTGAGCACAGTGGCCCCTCTTGACTCTCAAGTGACCCTCCAATTCACCCCAGGTCCCAAGGGAAAACCAATCTTGCAGGGACACACAGCCTCACACACACCTGCTCGGAAGGGAACTAGGCCCCCACTCCCCATCACACTGGGCCTGAAGTCAGGAGGGCTGCGGGAGCACCAAACTGTTTAAACTGCTCCACATGAGCACCGCCTATGCCCCAAACCCGGACCCTAGCCACGCAGAGGCAAGAGGGACAGGGACGCCCAGAACAAAGAAGGACCACAGAAAGCACACGTCAGAAAGATCGGGCAGAAAAATCACCATAACCTATATTTTGTGTCACAGACCTGAACCACAGAGYGGGCTGAAGGGATTACCCAAAGGAACCCCTTCCCGTAAAGGTGGATGACCTGAGGCCCAGAGAGGGCAGCTGTTGCCCCAGGGTCACACAGCACACAGTGGTAGAACTGGACCTGGAATCCAGGTCTCCTTGATGTCAACTGAGAAAACTCTCCTGTTTAAAGTTCAGATAAGTTCAGCAGGAATCTCCCAGGGGAAAGCCCCCAGCTTGCAAACTCAGAACAGGATATTTTGGTGACACTGGTGGGTGACATAGGAGTGTATTTGTTTTGGTTTCCAGATCAACGCTTGACAACCTTGCGCTCTCTACAGTCTCGGTGACCGCATTTCCCACGTGGTAAATGGTTGGTTGGGCCGAGGGGAAACCAAAGAAGTGGTGAGCAGGGCCAGGGCGGGGCAGCCCGGCCAGAAGCTCTGCCTGGGCAGATGTTCCCTAAACATGGTGGAGCACCGCTGATGGTCCTGAGAGGGCAGCAGGCGGCGACTCTTTAAATGTACACTACAGTGGAAGGGGCAGGCRTGTGGTTTACACGCTGCTCAGCAAGGGAAAGACACGTGAGCCTCAGAAACCAGACATGAAAGACGACATAGAGCCCAAAGCCACTACGGTGAAATGTCCAGGAAAGGCACATCGACACACAGAGAGCAGGTCCCGACTGTGCAGCCACAAAGCGTGTCCGGGGGATGGAGGATTCTAAATCTGGCCTGTGCAGATGGCTGACAGTTCTGGACCTTTTCTTCAAGTCACTGAGATACTTCACATGGGTGACTTTCTTCCATGATATGCAAATGAGACCTCAATAAAGCCGTTAAGCTACTTCACTTAAGTAACAGTACAGGGGTCCACATGAATAGGGCCACAAATCATGGAGGTGGGACCCGAAAATGCCCCCAGCTTGAAGAACACTGAGTTGCACACACCAGGAAGCCAGTGCGGGCCCCTGAGGCTGTGGGTTCCTCCAGGTGACCTCAGGCACGTGGGACATGTCCTTTCCTAGACAGGCTCCCTCCATTGGTCACCACTGAGGAGTCCACGCTAGACTTCCTGGGAGGAGCAGAGGCCTTAGTGGCCGATCCTGGTCTCCCAGACCGTGGCTCCTCTCGTGGGAAGGGGAACAGAGGCAGGCCAGGAGCTTCGACTCAGACTTTCATATTGTCAAGGCTGGGAAAACCCTTTGAAATCGTGTAGTCCACTGTTTTTTAAACTTTTTTTTTTAAGTTGATCATATATCTACCCTCCTCCCCCCAAAGAAAATTCTTATGAGAAACCCCAATATATCAACAAATAAAAACAGAATGTCGGCTCAAGTACCTAACAGTCACCTATTCTCAATTCAATCAGTGCAACTGATTAATCTATTTTGATGCATTAACATCGAGCACGGGGACTAGGGATGACAGTTCCACATCCAGTTGGGTTCCATCTCCAGTTTGGGCTGCAGAGCATGAAAGAAATCCTGAGGCACACAGGTAAGGGGCTGGGATAGGGAATCGTTCTCCGCAGTTTGCATGGGAATCTCGAAACACCCTCAGACAGACAGACAAGGGGAAAGAGGGACCTTGAGGTCAACTGTGAACAAGTTACACATTAGTGGAATCCAGGAAGTCAACACCAAGAACTTAAAAGAGAGGACATTTTTTGTGACTGTATTAACATTGTAACAAAGCTGTTAAGGACATTTTCTGTGACATTTTTTGTAACATTTTTTAAAACAATTTGAATGAAGTATTCAAGGAACCCCTAGAGCATCGCTGAAGAAATCCAGGACTGCAAGGAGCACAGTTCCAGCCCAAGCACCTGGCTCACAGGGAGGGAAACTGCGCCCCAGGCAGGGGGGTTGCTCACTTTGGAAAAATCCAACATGAGGCCTGAATCGACTTCAGAAAAGATGGTTCTTTCCAATGCACAAAATCATGGAGGTCGGGAAGGTATGCATGCACCCCAGAAAAGCACAGAGAAGGACACCTGCACCCCACCTGCCCCAGGAGCGCTGGCTCATTCCAGGCCAGCGCCAAAGGCTGACGTCACATCCCACGCCCTGGGTGCAACTTGAACAGATCGTTGCTCAATGCCAACCCATCTCCCTCCATCTCCTAGTACCCAGGTCTGCAGAGCACACACACCATTAGACAAATACAAGGCAAGTCTGTGGGATGACGATGACGACATGGTCAACAGCAGCAGACAGGAGGGCCCGGCCCATCCCTCCCTGAGTTTCACCAAGGAAAGCATCTTACCCTGACCCGCCCAGACAGGGCTGATCACCAGGGCCAGAGGGGTGGCCTCCTTATAAAAGCATCAAGTCCTCCAGAGAGAAAGGAACCCCAGAAGGAAGCTCACCACCCTGCACTGCCAGCTCCAGACAGTTCTGCTCCTGTTGGCTGGACAAAGTGTCTGTCATCATTAACGAATCCACCTGGTTAACTTTCTTTCGGAGGTACTGGAGGTACTGGAGATTAAACCCAGGGCCTCCCACAGGCTAGGCAGGCACTCTACCACTGAGCTACACCCCCAGCTCTTTATTTTGAGAGTTCCACTAAGTTGCCCAGACCTGCCTTGAACTTGCAATCCTCCTGCCTCAGCGGCCTGAGTAGATGGAATTATAGGAGTGCACCACCTCACCCAGCCCCTCAATTACCCTGTACCTTGAAAAAAAAAAACAGCAGAGTCCTACTCTGCCCTCAAGCACTGTGGTGTATTTCACTATTCCCATTTCTCTRATGAGCACACCGGCTTGCGAGTGGTTTAACCATCTCTCTGGCCGGTGATGGAGCCGGCATTAGAATCCTTCCCAGTAGCTAGCCTGCTCAGTGGGAGATGAAGGAAGGAGACTTTGTCCAGCTCCTGCAGCAGACATTAAGGAGAGAACGAAAAGTCCTTCTGAATTCCCAGCCATGTCTCCAAGTGCAGAGCTGTCCACGTCTGAGACAGCAGCCCAGGGCCAGAGGCCCCTCCCCCATCCAGGCCTGAGATGCTGCAGATAGACCCCACTCATCAGAAAGCTAAGCAGACCTTATTGTCAATCAAGACACAGGCCGGAAGCAATGTCAGTTTTCCAGCCAGAGAATCAGGACTGGGCAGGAACACACTAGCCAGTCCTGCAAGCAGTGTGTCCCTCACYTCTAGCCAGAGTCTGTGGTCTGGGTCCACCTAATGTCCAGTCTTCAGATCCAAGGTTATCTCCTGGTGGGTACCTTTAGGGCTGAATTCACTGGGGCTCAGTAAACTATGAGACTTGGGAAGCATGGAGAAGAGAAGGCATTTTTAAAAGCTCATGGCCAGTGTGATGTAGTTATGGTTCTCCAGCCCAGGGAGCTGGACCTTATGGAACTGGAACAAGACAGTGGGGTAGGGAAAGATCCGTCCATTTTCACWCATACTATATCATTAAATTCAAAAAACAAAGGCAGTGGGTTAGTTAAGAGATTTTTCTTTTCACCCATTGAGGGAGGGAGCCTATCTCCCACATCCTTGGGGAAATACCTAGGTTGGGAGACAGACTAGCCAGGCGCAAAGTCACTGAATCAAATCCTGACTTCACCGGGTATTAGCCCAGTCTCCTGGGTCAAGTCACTTGGCATCTCTGCACCTCAGCTTCCTCATCTGCGAAATGGGGGTTACGCTACCTCACAGTCTGCACCGCCGATCACAAAAATGAGATCACATACAACACCGCGGACTATTACGTCCCATAGAAAACAACGTGCGTGGACCAGTGACGGCGCCGAGGTATCCCCAACCGTAGTCAGCGCCACCCCCATTCTTGATCTAGATAACAGTCCTCCCAGGGCTTGTATAGCGCTCTGCAAACACAGCTTAGAGCCCACCTGCCAGGACCAGCTGCCCGCCCTGCCCTCCTGCGCACACATTCCGCAGCTGCCTGGACCTGGACGCCCCCTGCCAGGGAGAGGCGGGGGAGGGGCGGCCCCACTCACCTCCGCTTGTACTCGTCGCGCTCGCGCTTCACCTTGGCCAGCACATTGTAGAGCGCGCGGATCTCTGGCGTGATRGTGTCAATCTGCACGCCCACGCCGTCGGGGTGCACCCAGGACACGCCGGGGCCCTGCACCGTCTCCACGCCGCCGCCGCCCGTGCGCCGCACCTGCGTGTAGCTCCAAATGGTCCCGGGCAGGCGGCCGTAGTGCTGCGGGTGCGAGCCGCCGCCGGGGGGCAGGCAGCCCAGGGCCACGGCATTGGCGTTGGCGCCGGGCGCCGGGCCGCTGCCGTGTCCGCCGCCGTGTCCGCTGCCAGGCACTGGTGGCCGCAGCAGCTCAGGCCCGGTCTGCACCGCCTGCTCGCGGGAGAAGGTCTTGTAGCGCAGCCGCCGATCCCGCTCGCTCTGCTGCTGCTCCAGCTGCTTCTCCAGCAGCCGGTTGCGCCGCTCCAGCTCGTGCACCTTGGCCAGGAAGCAGCGGAAGCGCACGTTGAGCCCCTTGAGGAGGTGGATGTTGGAACCCAGGTCGTCTCGCAGCGCCGCCGTCACCGGCGACGGCCCTGGTCCAGCCCCACCGCCACCGCCGCCGCCGCCGGGGCAGCCGCCGCCGCCGCCCGGCGGGCAGCCGAAAGCCAAGGCCATCTCCCCGAATAGCAGCGAGTTCACCATGCGCCGGCTGCGTGGCTCAGGGCCCCGGACCCGCGGCTCCAGGTGAGGCTCCAGCTCCGGGCAGGGCTCCCGGCGCGGCCGGGCCAGGGCAGGCGCGGGCTCCAGCGCGGCCGGCCGGGCGGTTCCAGATGCGCGCCAGATGCGGCCTCCGCGGCGACGGCCGGCTAGACTGCCCCCGGATGTGGGCGCCGAGACGAAGGACGGGACGCGGCCGCTCCTCGGGCCGCGGTGCAGGCCGCGGTGACTGCACGAGACCAGTAAGGGTCGCGGGTCCCACCGCCCCGGCTGTCAGAGACGCTGTGAAGGGGCCGCGGCTGGCGCACGCAGAGGACTCTCGGCCGGCACTACCCGCTCTGCGGCGGCCCCTCCCACTGCAGACGCTGTCCCCGCCCCCGGTCTGGCCACGCCCACCCCTCCTCCCTCTGCGGCGTTCCCTGAGCAGAAGCTCCTCCCCCGAGGCCCGCAGGGCCGGGCCACGCCCACAGGTCTGAGGCTCCTCCCACTCCCCCGGCTCCGCCGCTTTCTTGGCGCAGGGGACCCGCTGCCGCAGCTCTGGCTCCTCCCAGCTCCCCGGCTGGACCACGCCCTCCCCTGCGTCCAGTCCTGCTAACCCGCACAGCTCGGGTTCTCTGCCGGTGAACGCCGGCCGCAGACCTGCACCAGGGACCTGGTTAGCTGGAACAGCCGCAGAGCCCGTCCGGCCTCTTAAAGGGGCCGGCAGCCTCGGCCGCGCTCGCTTCCCCCTTTAGGGACTCCCCTCCCCCAACTCGTCCGCTGGGGAGGCCCCATTTCTCTGACCTCTCCCATCCCAAATTTCCCTACCCAAAATTCCACGGAGGTAGGTGACCACGGCCTGGAAGGGCTGAGGGACCACAGCATGCGAAGGTACATTGGCACCCACCCCCACTCCGACTTGGGACAGCCTAGATGGCCCTTCCCGGCTTAAAGCAGCGCTTCCGCCCGCACGTCCCCCATGCGGCGGATCCCGGCTCCTAGGCTCCTGGGCTGCTGGCTGCGGGCCTCTTAGTCCCGAGATCTGCCGGGACACTGCGAGCCTGCTCGCACCCAGGCTAGTACCCGGGCTAGTACTCACAAAGGCTCCAGGCCGCCAGGGGCGCCGGGAAAAGTAAAGCAAAGACCCTCAGAATGACACCCGCCAGCCGCGCCTGGGCCTTCTGGCGTCCCCTAAGCTACTGACCACCTCCCCACCACTGCTCTCTTACTCTGAGATGCAGCTGAGCCCAGAGATGGGGATCTGTCCCATCCAACCGCCCTAGCTGCAGCACCTGGGTGGAACCAGTGAGGGGGGCGCGTTCATTCATTCATTTCTTCAAAGGTTTTTCTCCATCTACCACCCTAAAGGCCAAGTTCTCCAGTCTCCTGGTGTCTCCTGGATCAATTTGCAAATATTAATATATGACAGTGATCATACTCGGTTATTGTGCCCATTTTATAGACAAGGTCATTGAGACCTGAGAAACCCCAAAGATCGCAAAACACATACTGTAACCCCCCCACACACACACACACACACCCACTGCTGGCCTTTTGTTAATGTGTGCATTCATCCTCACCACAAACTTCAGAGGAAGGCAGGCAACSGCCTTTGGATACCTACCCAGATACATGTCACGTTCCAGATTCCCCTGGCAATATTTTTTGCATTGCCATTTAATTTTTGTCTTGTTATTCACTTGCTTTGGCTTTGTCTCTTTATGTGTAAGCTTGAGGGCAGTTACCCTGTCTTTAGAGACAATGTTTCATTGTTCTTGGTGACAAAAGAGACACAAAGGAGACACAGGCTTGCTCCTGGTGACTTTGAGGTGTGATGTTAGTCTCTGTTTTTTATTTGGAGCAAACTCTCCACATATTCCCTCCCTTGACCCCAGCTTCTTGCTGCCTGCTGAMATGGACCCGCCTTTGAGCTCAGAAACTCACCAAGCTGGTACCCTTTCTCTGCTTAACACAGCCCAGCCGGGTCACTATTCTTTACTCTTGGCTTCTCTCATCTGTTGGTGATTTTCTTGTTTATCTAACCTAAAAAATCAAAAGCCATTTCCCCGGAAGCAAGGGTTCTTAGACCCCCAAGGGGGCTGAGGATAGAATTCTGAGCAGCCCACSTCATTGGAATCTTTTACGTTCCCAAATCCCTAAATGGTACTTAGCATTTCCTTTGGTTATGAATAGGCAGCAAGTAGAAGCCCTTGGGATTTTGTCACTAATACAAACCACTAATTTTTTTTTTTCATATCATGCCACAGTTACTCTAGGTATCCTGAGAGACTGTGTAAGCTACCCAACTCTGAAAATCATATTAGACCCACCATTAAATCTTTTTTAAAAATTTTTTTAAAGTCTTTGAATATTTTTTTGAGAGAGAGAGAGAGAGAGAGATTTTTAATATTTATTTTTTAGTTTTCGGCAGACACACATCTTTGTATGTGGTGCTGAGGATCAAACCCAGGCCACACGCATGCCAGGCGAGCTACCACTTGAGCCATATCCCCAGCCCCCACCATTAAATCTTATTATTTAAAGTTTTAATAAAGAAGAGCATTTTACTGTCCAAATTTTCTTTTTTGATACTTGGATGTCTGTATTTTAGTTAAATGGTTTTATTTGCATGCACTAAAAATGCATCCTAAGTGTTTTTAAAAATTACTCTGAGAAGGGGCCACAGGTTTCACCAGATGCCTGAGGGGCCCATGGAACAGAAAGTGTTAAGAAGCCACACCCTAGGAGTGGCTTCAAAAGCCTCTTCCAGGAAGGATCTGTCCTGCCAACGGTTACCCTAGAATTGGGTGGGAGATCCTCTTGTGGGGGGCAGCCCTGCCTTGGGCACTGAAAAGTTCAGCCGCTCCATGATCGTTTCTGGGCACTTGCTTGGGCACTGATCCTACCCTGAAAGCTGAGGCAGGAGCTTCCGGAGAGCCAGGGCAGCTCCTAGAGACAGCAGAAGCCATCCAGGGTGCAGAGGAGGAAGTTGAACTTGGGAGACGGCTGAGCAGAGGCCAGGAGATCCAAAGGAGTCGCAGGAGTGGTTCCTGAGCTTGAAGCCAGAAGCTAAGCCATACGAATAGGTCGCGCACCTGGGAAATCGTTTCAGGGCCACAGAGGAGAAAAAGGAGATACTGAGTGTCTTGCTATGTGGGTAAGGTGAGGGGCAGGTGTATCTAATAAATGGCCTTCCAAGGACCAGCATGTCAATTTCCCCGGGACCAAGGTTGTCTCCCTTGAAGCTGGACTTCTACTGCCAAAACCCAGAAGGTCCTGAGCAAACCAGAACGAGTTAGTTCCTTACTTCCAGTCCATATATATCTGGAGACTTCTGAGGCTAGAAGTCCTGGCTCTCAATGTCRGCCATGCTCAATAAATGATAACTATTATCATCACAGTCTTCTCACCTTTTTTTTTGTTTTTTCCCTAAGCAAACGAGGAAAGTCCATAACTGTGTAAAGAAGCAGGGGATAAAAGCATGTCATCAGTCCCATGCCAAGTAGCCCTCTCTGGTGCCACAGAGAATGCATGGCTCCCTCTCCCCYCCACCCGCCTGTGTCCCTCCTCCCCACCCCCAGGCTGCAGTTTCTAGAACATTCCTGTCAGGTTTCTTCATGAGAAATGAAAGCGAGCAGTAAAACATGATGGTACAGAGGAAGGGAGTGGCCACAAATCCTCACGATGCTGCAGGTGAACAAGCAAATTCTTAAGATGTCCCACCTCTCCTCCCCAGAAAAACAATAATGACAGCAGCAGCCAAAAAAAAAAAAAAGTTCTTGGCACAAAAGGTGACGCTTGCTCATCCGGGCATCAGCCGCAGTTCGCTGGCCTGTCCTCCCTGGCAGCCCCAGGCTTACAAGCGGCTTAAGCTGCCTCTTGGTTTGACAGTTTTCCTAGGTGAGTTGGCCTTCATCAGAAAGGGTGTGGATTTCACCCACATCAGGCGCCAGAGTGTCCCACTGGCCACCCTGACAGTGCTGACCAGGGTCAGCTGCCTTCAGGGAGAACTGTGCTTCCAGCACCTTCTCCAGGGCTCCCCAAGGCAGCCTGAGTGGCTCTGTATACTCTATAGCAGTGTGATTAGAAGCAAGGGGTCCAGAGTCGGGCTCCATCAATTATTAACCACGTGACCTTGGGCAAGCTACTCAACCTCTGTGCCTCTGTTTCCCCTTCTGTGAAATGGAATGCTCATGGTTCACAGGGTGGCTGTGAGCCGGAACAAGTCCGCACACGTGAAGTGCTAGCTATCATGAGCCAAACGCCTTGAACCCCAAGTGTGCACCAGGCCCTGTTGGGGACAGGGCTTTGAGCTCCATGTGACAGGCAATCAGAGGTTTGCAACCTGCACATCCCCAGGGGGGCCGCAGGTGGGAGGGGCCCTGCTCTCTGGCCACTTCCCRGATTCCCATCTGTTAAGCATGTCCTTTACCCCAGCCTTCTCCCTAAAACCTCATTTGTTCAAGAACTTCGTACAGACRGGGAAGTGGCTCACAGGGGAGCCCCGGTCCCCGGCACAACTAAGCCTTGAACCCAGCGCTGACCTCCCGTCCAGTCCTTTCCTTTCAACTGTAGCCCCTTCCCTGACACCCAAGGGGGACTGTGGAGTGAGCTGTCGAAGTGACTTCTGGCGGGTGGTGGAAACCTCGGTGTGAGTAGAAACTCCAAATGAGTGGCAAGAGGCACAGAGAGCGCGAGGGACAGGGACGTGGTCCCATGAGGCAGAGACAAGCTGAGGAATGTCACCTGCAKTTTTGCCTTGGTGCCCCTCCTGCTCTGACTCCTCCAGGACACGCCCGCCCCGTGCTGGCTGGCTGGCTCTCACTGAYCGAGCATTTCTTCTGTGCTGTTTTGCTGTGGCTCCGGACAGAGGCACAGCCACGTTCAGTGGGTGCTCAGCTCAGGGACCCCCRAGGTTCTCAGCAGGTTGCTTCCCACACCCTGGGAGGCTCCCTCGGCTCCTTTCAGTTGCTACCTTCCAAAGGCTCTTCCCACCCTGGTCCCTT